GCAGCAGTACCACTCAAACACAGAGTGTGAGGGGCTAAATTCCAAAGGCTCTACCCAAGGCTCCTACCACTCTGCTCCTTTCTTCTTACAAGCCCATTTTTATATTATAACTCCCCCTCCCACCCACCCCTGCTCCAAAATAGAGCCGGAAAGGGCTGTATTTCCTTCTGTCAACCACTGGAGGAAAAGGTTAGCTTGAAACACATGCACTTGCACAAAATATGAGAGTACTGGTTTAGTTTCCTCCTTTTATAGATCTGAACATATATCCCACTTTTCAAAGGGAGACAGTCCTTTGCTTTACTTAGTAATTACTTTTTAAATACTTAAATTTCCTTAGCAAATCACTCACTCTTAAGCACGAATGGAAACAACATCCAACAGTTTTCAATATAGACAGATTTGACCAAAAGAAATTTGAGAAGTGCACCTCTCAGTCCTTTTGAAAAGAATCTGGTCTCAGTCTGGCAGAAAATCAGAACAGTTTGGGACATCTAATGCATTCCTAACAGTGTGCAAGATTTCAATACTCAACACCACAGGACTGGAAAATGCAGCAACTTCTCTGAGAATTGGACACTTCAGAGTAGGAGGATGTAGGATATCTACCTGGTGAGATGGGATGATCTTATCCTCATTTTCTTCCCAAACTTGCAAACACAAAACCTGTTTATTTTACATGCACAGGCACATAAAGAAGTTCCTCATATGAGTATGTCTAAAGGCATATTCAAGAGAAGCTCCATGATCAGGATCTCAAATTCTGGTCCCAAAAGCCCAACTGGTGTATTTAATAACTAACAGATCACTATTTGCCAAGATTTTAATACTGACATTGCTTTCTAGAGGTTGTGACATCATCTTTTTCCATTGGCAAATATATCTCCAGCAAGTCACTACTAAAATCTTCAGTTGCACATAGCAATGCTGAGTTTATACGACTGTTGTAGAGTATGTAATCAAAGTATTGCCAAGCCATGAGTGATAACCTGATAAGAATTAGAAGGCTGACATGCTTAGAATTAGGTTTTCATCAACCTGCAGCACCAGCTGCTAACTTCACACCTAGTATTGCATACTGCATCCTCAAGGCCTTGTTTTCATCCTAGCCTTCCAAACACAGTTAGCTCAGATCTATCTTACTATGAAACAAACTCTGATATGAAAAAAAAAAAATCTATGAAAGGGCTTTTTTTCATTGGCAGAACATAACTGCAGAAGATTGCATATAGTATTTTTATTTTTTTCTTAGAACGTCAGAGGAGAGACACAAGTATAACTTCAACTATGTTCACACTGTGCAGCTAACTGGCGTGCCCTTTATGCAACAGAAATGGTCCATCACTATCTGCTCTGTATTAAATAATTCACAATTTTTTTTACATTTTACCGCAGTCTCAATATTAAGACTGTATTACCTAGAATTTTTGTTTTGGTGACATAAATATGTTTGAAAAAGATACTAAAATATAAAGAAATTCATTAGGTTTGCATCAGCTGGATAATTCCAATACACATTTAATAGGTTTCTCACAGATACACATGCTTTTGCAGGCTCTGAGTTCAGTAGATAGATGCATAAAAATTGTCTTTCAGATGGTGAACGGATTCCTAGCTGGGAAGGATATTGGCCACTCTAGAATGAGAATTTTGCATGATGTTGTGTCTCAGTTCACATCAGAAAATCTACTCTGAATATTGGAAGCGCAGAAGGGAAGTTACCAATGTTTCTGTTTTCTTCATCCTGACCTTCACTTCCATTCAGGCAACCCCCCTGCCCCATATTTTCATGAGAAGCGTCAGACTGGCTGTGTAAACAGTTCAAAGACTTAACCACTTATATCGTGTGTCTATAAGCTTTATAGCTTTCAAAGTCTATGTTGAAGATTCTGAGATCTGGATCAAAAAAAATCTGCACAGGGTACCAAAGAAATTGTATTATATGTATGTGGTCCTAGCAGGAAATTTAAGATTTAGAACAGAAAAGAGCCCCAAGGTTTTTGAAAACTGTCACTGAGAAAACAAACCACTGTTGGGCTGAAAATTATATTTATTCACATTTTAAGAAGCTACAAACACAATTCTATGTCTTCCAACTTTAATAAAAGACCCAGGAGACCCTTATTGTACATAAGAAGTCATTGTTTAAGGATTAAGATGTGACCTGTGTTCATGTTCCAGCTGAAGCTAATCAAAGATGAATGTAGTTTGCTTTAACGATACATGATAGACAACTAGAGTCCCAGCATTTGGGAGAGAAAATAATCTGGCAATACAAGATTTTGTGTAAAGACTGGACCCTTAAAAAAAAAAAAAAAGGAAGAAAAAAGAAAAAGAAAAAAACAAACCCCAAAAGCATCACATACACACATCTCTGAAGACTGCCTGGAGCCAGAGGACAAGAATTCAAACAACCGGAATTTATATGTATAAAGGCATCCATTACAGCAGACTTTTTGCAGATTTGCAATCAAATGACCAACTCATCTCATTTCAAACTAGAAGACATTTAGCAGCTAAAAACAGTTCAACATTCAGGTGGATATGCCTGTACTACTGCTTACTAAGATGTATTCCTGTTCTTGTTAACTCACTGGAGATACAAGCAGGGAAACAATCTACAATTACTTGTGTTGCAGCACACTGTGATTTTGAGTAACAGTACTCCAACATATATCACAGACTATACGTGTAATATTTGCACTAACTGGTACTGACAGGATATGGTTGTGATGATTGAAATACATCATTTTAATGAACTGTTGTCTTCACTGAATTCTGTAATAGTATCTGACAACTTTCAGTGCTGTATGAATTACTCTCCGTTGGTACAATTCACTTTTGTTTTGGTTGAGATACTGTAAGACAGTATTTCTAGGAAAACAGGTTAGGTAAAGAAAAGACTGCCAGTAATGAGTGAATGTAACATGAAAGAGAAAGAAAAGGACTGGATAATGAGCTTGGATACGTAGTGAAAAACCATACTATGAAAACATGCTGCATGTCTGCAGTGCTGATCCTTTGCATTTGAATAATGAACGTAGGACAGTGGAAACACCCTGTCAAGATCTGAACAATGTTTTGCAGAAGCCATAGCTATAATACCTGCACACTTGCAAATAAGACAAGGAATTCAACTTGCACATTGTCAAAGGCAGAAAAAAACCCCAAACTCGAGCCTACTACAGTATACATGATCAAAGCAGGCTAAGTTTTCTGGACCTGCCAGCTGGTTTGATTAGGATTTGATGGAAGGAAGCCTAAGTTTCACCTTCAGAATTCATCCTGTTCTTGAACTAGGTGTCAGGGAATCTAGGAGGCATTTTGACAAGTAAGGTAAACCAAGTAGAAAGGTGTCCAACTTACAGAAGATTATCTTAGCAGTTCAGACAAATAAAGCATTCTGCTGTCCAACAGGAAACTCTCAGCCAACTATACATAATTCAGGAAATCTGTGCATCCCTGGACTGACAGAGGGCAACTGGAACATAAAAAAAACCTCAACTGCATCTAATAAGTTTTTCCAAGACATACTGGATACTGAAATAATGGAAGCAAGGAAACACTTGAGATAAGAAAAGGATACATCCTTTTATGCAAATCAAGTGCAATTTTCTCTGCTACCTTTCCATAAAAGAAGATGGAAATCTTATGTAGGTAACTGATTGTAGAATTCAGATAAACCTACTAGAAATATTTGCAGACATGAGAACTCAGACATTTTAGTAAGCATTTCCATTCACCACAACCTAGTTTTAAAAAAAATAAAATAGCAACTTGATTTTTTTCCCCTCCCTTAATCAAAAACAATGCTGCATATTTCAAGAACAGTAGCAGAAACCGGAAAGCAAAGCTCCTACATTTCTGTCTTTTCAACACGTTAGAAAAAACCTGAAAGTATTTTTGACATTTTAAAAACAATGTCATTTTAGCTACTAAAAAATTCAAATATGCTTCTTATGCACAAGCTGAATTGCCATAGACAGTTCCAGTAAAAACCACAGAGAATATTCATTTATCTAGACCTGTAGCCAACAACCACCAATACAAACATTTCAGCGGAAGCTACACAATTCCTGTCATGTTTAACAGTGTAATTCCACAGAGACATGTTTCTACTGTCTCAAATGGTGATTAATTTATGTCACAAAGTGTGTCCCAAGTGGTGATTAGTTTATGTCAGTCTTTGTAATATCGCTAACAGCATATGCTTTTAATTTCTCTAATTATATGTGTGCTTTGAATATTGCTATGCAACTGCAAACAAGTCCAGATTGCTTTATCACTGCATCCTTTAAGTGACAGAGGAATAATAATCATATAAACATGTGTTTTTATGGATCTATACTACTGCTAAAAATCCAATTCTGATTTTCTTTCTTCTCACTCTGTACGAAACTTTGAAGACAATTCATTCTGACATTTTTTTCATGTTACCAAGGAATGGAAAGTTAGGTTTTTAGTGATGGCTTCAGTGGTAACTCTCTGTATGGCTTTGAGTAAAGCATTTCACCTCTTCACTTAGTTTCAGCGAATGTAAATAATTGTATCACTTGCCCAGTTTGACATTCTATGGGAATTAGGTAAAACTCATCTGGGTTTTTGGACTTGCATATATGCGACCATATTAAACATTTCTCATTATTAATGCCTGTTGTCTTGTACTAACCCTGTAACATGATTTAAAGACATTTACAACATGGAGTTCAAGCCACACTTCTTGGATTAAGTTTTGTACTTCAAGATTCATCCTTTCAGTATTATGAAGATTAAGCCATATTTTCCTCTTAACCCAACAGCTATGCTTTGGATATCATTTTTTCCCTGATAATTCACATCTTCAAATTGATTTTTACAATCATCTCTCTGGGAATTATAACAGCTAGGTTTTAGACTTTCTTTGGTCCTGAAAAATGTGTTATGGAACTCTAGCATAATTATAAATTTGGAGACTTGGGCATAGGCCTCATTTTGATTTGAGGGATTAATAGCAGGTTGTCTCTCTAGTACTCCTCAGAGGATTCCAAAGGGAATTCTCCTTTATCAAAATGGCAAGCATTTCCTGATGTGCTGTCAGGACAGAGATTACAAACTACCTAAAGATGGTCCTTCCACAGTTCCTCTGAGTTCTTCTACCTGCCTTCTAATTTCCTGGAGGACATTTGTCTATTCTGAAAAATAGATTAGCTTCGCTTTTACTGGAATCAATTAAACATGGTATCTGGCCAGAACAGCTTGTGGCTTCTGTCCCACTGAAAAGTGAGTCAGACAAGTGTCATCTGAAAAGGAGTATTTTGACAAGGACTGGTTACACGCCCTCATTATGATTCAAAATGTGAAAGTACGGCTCCATTTTGAAACTAGACAATCTTTATGAGTTTCTTCAAAGGAGATTTTATAGAGTCCTGATACAGATGCATTTGGTGTGGTGAAAAATAACTACAAATCTGATAGTGAATATTTCATTTAAAAGCTGTCCATTGCCTAAGGGAAAAAGGAAGGAAAAGAAACAGAATATTAATGTAAAAGATGCCAGGAGAGGTTTGGCTAAACTCCGTGCCTTTTCACATTGCTCTGGTTGTACAAAGCAACTAGTTTGACTAGCCAGCTTGATAATTTAAGCAACATTAACTTCTTTATTGAGACTAAAGCAAAAAAAGAAAAACCCAACTAAAACTATAACAGCAGTTTAAAATCAACTCAATCATGCCTTGCACCGCACATTGTCAAGATGTGTTAATAATATAAAATGTGCAGTGTCATCACTGCATGGTATCATTCCATGGAAAGCTATAGTTGATTAGGGGCTTCTAATTAAACAAAATCCATCCCTGCTTAATTTCTTTAGAATGTATACTAACCCTAAATTTCCCAAAATTAAAATGCTTCTTATGAGAAAAAATAAAACTATAATCAGCAGTTCAAGTGGAGAGAAGTTATAAAAGAAGCTAAGAATTTTCATGTAGGCTTAAGAACAAAAGAATATTTAAATAAACTAGGAATTAATTTATGTCATATACATCTGACACTAGGTAAAGAAGTGAAAATTCCCAGTCTTGTAGAACAGCAAAAGGTGTCAAGAATTATTTTTGTGTATATATGGAAATAAGTAAAAGAATATATTAATACCTTAGTAACAAGATACTATATCAGTGGTCATACAGGATAATTAAAAGTGATCATGACAGACTAGTTACTTTTTTAATTTGCACCTGAACAAATGCACCAAAGGATACTAGCAATGTAAGCTAGTAAGGACTGATGTAAACAATTACATTTTTTTAGAATTTTAAAATAAAGTTTTGATTATGGGAGAAATTTCAGGGATCTAGACAAAAGTTACTGTGTTAAATGAAAAGGAGAACAAATAAGTGATGGATTAAAAAACAGCAAACAGAAAGCAGCAATGGCTCTAATTCACAGACATTTATTCACCCTGAGGTCTGCTGCAGGACAGTACAGAATTGCATCTCTCTGTGGCCTAATTCCACCATATTTTGTACTACAGAAAGAGGCCAGAGAAAAATGGAGACTGGTTCAATGACTATATAATGGATAAACTGGAGGAAAAAAAAAATCCGAGTGTTCTAACTTTGGTGATAATAATTTCTCACACTTAAGGCATAAATAACAATGTTTGCATTTAACATACAGTCTACAGCATATGTTTGCAAAGCTAAATAACTGCCTGTGTTTACATGAGATATACGATGTTCAGTATGATTTGCATATCAGAGATCAAGCTGTAAATCTCTGATGATATTTACAGTTGGATAATTGAAATTAATCCTGCCAAAATTACTTTGACAGTCCTGAATTTATGGTCTGAGAAAATAATCCTGGAACTGTTTGCTGAGCTATTAAGATGGCTGGCTATATATTTCCAATCTGAGCTACGCACCAAATAAAAACCTGTTCACAAATTATAAGCCTCTTTCTTCTTTCTTTCTCCCTCTTTGTGTTCAAGCTGCTTCCTATAATCATTAAGAAGATGGCATAACCGCGAAGGCAGCAGGTATGCGTGTGTTTTGCTGCTTCTGATTTTTTTATTTTTCTAACCATGGCAGGTACATTAGTTATCTTTCTCCCTGCCCCGCAGATGTTGTGCCATTTTCTTTTTAATTTCCTTTAAAAGCAGCCAATTCTCCCAGCAGAAAGCATCAAGAAGCTCCAACACCAGAACTCAGACTCCCTCCAATCTTTCAGTAACTTGGATCATGGTTGCGTCTCAGCAAGTGTCTGTATCTTCAGGGAAGAAAAGCACAAAAGGTGCTTCGATTTTTGTTTGTTTGTTTTCTGTTTTGTTTTTTAAACTCAGACTGTATAATTAATTGGAGGGCACATCATTAACTACAAAGCTACCTCATATTACCCTCCTGGTAGGAATGCCATTTGCGGATAGATATATGACAGAAACTTCCAATGTACACAGAAGAAAAATGCTTGTGAATAATATCCATTAAATTAAAAAAGGCAGCAGTAGTTTCACCTAATAAAACAAAATTCAAACAATTAGCAGGCTGAATTTTCTTATCACAGGCAAAGAATTACATAATTTATTAAAACTGTTGGCAACCTTTTCCTATTTAAGAGACGTTGCACCTTGTATTCTTTGGCTCCAATAATGGATTTGATGATTGTGGAAATTGCACCTTGGATTTTGGTGCTAAAAGATAGCAAACAGCCTCCCCACTTTCTTGATACCAAGTTTTCAACTACAGAGAACTCCATTGTGGGTATTTGAAAATCTATGTTTATAGATTTAAAAAGTACATTTCTAATATATAAAAACATCTTTTTGAAATCTGGAACCCATTACAGAAATTTATGCATTTGTATTTGTAGCATTTATTTGCAACATACTTATTTTAGAAAGGTGGCAGTGATAGGTTTGATATTCATCTTGCTTTCTTTCCCCCCCCCCCCCATAACATGCTGTTTTCCAGGACCATTCAGTTTGAAAGCAGGCATCCATCCAAATACGTAATATTAAGGAAGAAAGACAGAGCTTATTTATAAAATGTTAATTCCTTATTAGTGGAAAGAATAAATCACTAGATTAAGCAGAATAACTGTGATCACTGATTATTACCCTACCACAACTATGTTACCTTGTGCTCTGTCCCCTGTTCAGACCTTATATCAACTGGCTGGAGAGGGAGAAGTCTAAAGATGACAGCTAGATAAGCACATATTCTGTGAGGATGGGAAGGAAAAAAAAGCATCTTCTAAGCATCAAAAACCATTGTGGTAAGCCTGCTCCACCTTCCCATTTTGTTGCACACACCCAGACTGTAAAGAAGCCTGAAGGAGGTTACATATTTATATGGTACCCAGCACAGCTGGCTTCACTGGTATCAGAGAACTCCAGGCACATAACAAATTTACAGGTGACGCTCTGGAAAACATCTAGGATTAGTGTTGCCAAACTCTGCCAATCAGCTTGGCAATTAGTACTGCCAAGCCAAAAGACACTGCAGGTTCTTTTTATAGTATTTCTGTACATAAGCATCAGTAAATTAACAATCCAGACATGAGACTACCAGCCTGATTAATCTGTCAATAGCTTTCCCTTATTTTCACATCTTGCCATATATTACACAGGGGTTGATATTTCACTTGAATTACTCAACATGGCCATAAGGATCAATTGCAGCTGACTGTTCTGCAGAATTAGGTCTTCAGGTAGGATGTCTTAAGCTTGAAACAGCCACGTCTTGTCATCAAATCCCTTTGTAAAGCAGCTCTTCAAGAGCATCTAATTTTTCCACCATGCTCATTTTATATTAAGTGCATACACCACATACACTTCTACAGAACATCTTCCAAACTCATCCATACAGACTAGCTAAATAGAATTCAGTTGTCTTTTAGACTTAGGTAATGTAACGCACATGAACACATGGGCTTTTATGGTGAACAGACTGAAAGTCCACCAGTGAGGACTCCAAGTGAGGCTTTTTTATTTCATACTCTGAATACTCCTATTTTAAGCATACCATGCCACATTTTTGTGCCACCTCCTGCTCCCTTTAACCACTGAGATTTTTGACTTAAGGTTTCAATAAATATATGCTGATAATTAACCTTTCATGTCATGGCTGTGCTCCTTTCTCTCTTATTTTCAAATGCAAAATATACATCAGATACACTGAAGGTAGAAATGAGAGTTGGCAATGAATGTAAGTGGGAGGCACAGGTTGGTGATGAAGATTTGCTTTGATTCCTCTGACTACAAAAGCTTCCTTGGTAGAGAAGATATTTTAAAGTGTCTAAACAAAACCTTTGTCTATGCAAATGCAAAACCAATCTGACATAAAATTAAAGCTATTCTTAGTATTATTTCTTAAAGGTCATGAATATGCCATAAAGGATGATCAAAGTATTAAAAGCCTACAACAGGTTACGAAAAGAGGCAACAATACAACAGATTTCCAGTGTTTTCATTTCTAAGCAAAACACTGACCTTTAATTCTTATTACTGATAGTAATGGGGGAAGCATCATTTGTTATCAGAACTGGCTGACAACTTCTGTTATAAAACCCACTTCTCAGTTGTCTTGAACTTTGCCAAACTTTAACGGCTTTGTCTATGATTTTATAAAAATTGGATATTTGTTTCCCATTTTGAAAACAATGTTTTTATTATTATTTAATGCTTCCTCAATTCACAATTTGAAAGCCAGACTGAAAATCTGATACTGACAAAGTTTTAATTAGCTCTCAAAAAATCTAGCTGAATTACAACCTTTTGAAAAAATCTCAACTCATACATGTTCATCAGAGAAGTTCTTCACTTCTAGAGCAAACCCCTTCAACAATCCCTTTTCACCAAGCACGGTCCTAGGTCTTAATTGCAGGGCTCACTGCAATCGCAGCAGATGCAAAAAGAATGAAAGAAGAAAGTCTCCCTCGCTTTTTCAGTGAAAATTCTTTCCCTTCAGTGGCCAACAAGCTTGAAGGAGTTCAAATGCACACCACATTCAAATGCAAAGGAAGAAAAAGACTGAGAGGAAATGGGAAAAGCCATTAGGACTGGATAATAAAGAACCGAGGAAAACACCTATGAGACTGAAGACTTGTCTGCGGACTGATGACACTCAGCTGTTAAAAATCAGACCTAGCACAACAGTACAGTGGTGTCAGTAGCATTACTCCTAAGTCATTCAGGAGTCCAGAAAGAATAGTTTGGGAAAAAAAAAAATCAATTCCATTCCTTCAAGGTGTAAATTAATCAAAATATGTCACCTCAAATAAAACTGCAGAAAGTTGAGGAACTAATAATGAATTGGTAAGCAGGAATATACTAATATTCTAGAAGCACCTTCACATAAATGCATTTGCCTGGATAATAAAGAAAATGAAGAGGTATATGTTGATTTATTAATCAGGAGCCTCCTTGCCAAACATATATAGTGAATAAAATAAATTTCCACTTGTCCAACCTTAAATTAAAGTGTGCAGTATACTCATGAGCTAGAAATACTATATAGAAAACTTACTTAAATTTTTGTTCAGTTACTCATTTAAATTACACACTGAAGTTCCACAAAGCTCTGACCTTAAAAAAACACCACCACAGAATAAACGATGCCAAATAAAAGCAAATACTTTTTTTTTGGCACTATCTTAAATTAAGTCCTTCCCAGCTCCCTATTTAGTAAAGCCTTTATCTAGTTAATCACATCAAAGCCTGTTTTTTGCACCACTCCCTTTAATTTATTACAAGCATCCTGGCTTATATCAGGAATAGCGTGGCCAGCAGGAGTAGGGAAGTGATAGTGCATGTCTGCACTGGTGAGGACGCATGTTGAATACTGTGTCTAGGTTTGGGCCCCTGACTACAAGAAAGATGTTGCGTTGCTAGAACATGTCCAGAGGAGAGCAACAAAGCTGGTGAGGGGTCTGGAGCACAAGTCTGATGAGGAGTGGCTGAGGGAACTGGGGTGGTTTAGTCTGGAGAAGAGGAGGCTGAGGGGAGACCTTATCGCCCTCTACAACTACCTGAAGGGAGGCTGTAGTGAGGTGGGGGTCAGTCTCTTCTCCCTGGTAATGGGTGATAGGACGAGGGGAAATGGTCTGAAGTTGCGCCAGGGCAGGTTTAGGTTAGACATAAGGAAAAATTTTTTCAATGAAAGGGTTGTCAAGCATTGGAACGGGCTGCCCAGGGAAGTGGTCGAGTCCCCATCCCTGGAGTTATTTAAAAGAAGGGTAGATGAGGTGCTTAGGGACATGGTTTAGTGGTGGGATGGCCGGTTTAGGTTAACAGTTGGACTTGATGATCTTAAAGGTCTTTTCCAACCTAAACAATTCTATAATTCTACGATTCTAATGCCATAAGCAGACCCGTACAGCACGGGCATGTCCTCCTAAAGTCAGGATGCATCCACGTTTTGAAAAATGCCATATCTGCATTGTGGTATCCCCACTTGAAGTGACCAGCTGGATGCCACTATTATGAGGAATAAAAATAATGAGTCTTTTTTAGAAAGGAAATAGGTGAAGATTTTTCAAAGTACACAGCAAAATAATTTACCTATGTTTAGAAAGATAGGTTAAGTAGCAATTGTTGATTTCACATTAAAATACATATGAACAAAAAATATGTTTGAAAACCTTCATATTTTTACTTTACACAGTTTTCTGACACATCTTAGATGAAGCGGTCATGTATTAAATACGCTATCAAAAGAAAAGGAGATATGAAGTAGCTATCTTCCATGGGAAAGTAAATATGGGTTCCAAAAATTACGTTCTTGCTTTTTGTAGTCTATTTATGAGTTTATCAGTAAAATAACCTAAGCCCAGAAAACTGCTTTCAAAACAGAATAAAATAGCTTCAGGGAAGAGTATTTTCTTATTTCCCAAATCCATACTGTTTCCTACATATAAATTATTATTTAAGCATCACAATTTTGTCTTTTCTGACTCAGTATAAACATTTCAACACATTCACTGTCTCTTGGGGTCATTGATATATTATATAAATGAAAAATATGGAGTTCAACTCAGATTTTTTTCCCAAATCTTCAGATATAAGCTAGCATAGTCCTATTTCATTTAAGCATGGACATACAGCTTCAGACTAAAAGTCCATCTGTTTGTATGTTATATGACAACTAGTAGGGGATTCTTAATAAAAAGAAAATAAGAAAAAGTATGTAGAGTGATTCTCCTGTTAAACTCTCCCAGGCCTAGCCCATGGCTCAGGATTTCTTTGAGACAGAAGCTTTGTGCTTAACAAGCATCCATGGAGGTTTTTTCCACGACTAATTAATTTTTGAACCAATGCAAACCTTTGGCACCCACAATCTCTTGTGTCAATGAATTCCAAAATTTAATTATGCATTTTGTGAAAAACTATTTTTGGGTCTTAAATACCTTACTTCATTTAATTTTGTGCTTCTAATTCTAATAGTGTGATTAAAAGTAAACACTGACTACACGTTTACCATCTCTAAACCAATTGTGATATTATAGATCCCCTGTCATATTTTACCTGCAAAACTGAAGGCTCCTTCTCTATTGACTCATTCCTCATACATACATCATTCCACCTTTTTGATCACATTTACCATCCTTTTGAGCTGAAACTGAAGAAACAGGTACTCAAGGAAGATATATATTGGCACAGTAGCTTTTTCTGGTTTCTTTTAATTTGATTAGCATTTTTGGCACTACTGTGCCAAAATTTTCAGAAAACTGACCACAGTGGCTCTAAGATTTCCTTCCTAAGTACTAATAACTAGTTTAGACCCATTCTTATCTATATACAATTAGGACCATTTTTTCTTACATACATCACTTTGCATTAACTTTCATGTGCCACTTCAAGTCAACTGGTGCGACTGAAATTCTTTTCCTGTAATTCTTCACATGCGACCTTCATTTTTACTGCCCTGACTAATTAGCAAACTCATCCATGTCATTCTCGTCCCAAATTTCCAAGATCATCTTAATAACTTAGGTCCCAGCACAGATCCCTGTGGGACTCAAATAATAATTTCTCCATTCTGAAAGTGACATTTTATTCCTATCCTTTCACCAGTTTTTAAACTCACAAGATAAATTTCCTTTTTATTCAGGACAGTTTTGCTTCTTTGAGAGTTTTTGTCAAATGACCTGAAGAAGAATTTACTGCAAATCCAAGTATACCAAATTTATGAAACTCCCTTGATCAAATGCACAGCAAGCCCTTCAGAGAACTCTAACAGATTTCTGAGACTTAATTTCTAAAGCCATGCTGACACCTCCCAACCCTTCACTATAACAAATGCATCCATATATCCTGTAATTTTGCGTTTTAATATCATTTCTACCAGCCTTCCCAGTATAAAACTTAGATCAACTGATTTACAGCCACTTCATCCTTAAGTATTTTTGGGGAAAAAAAAAGTTAATGCAGCCTTCCCAAAGTATACCAGGAATAATGGAGGTTTTCTACCGTGTTTACTAAAAAAAGAAAAAAAACCAAAACAAACAAAAAAACCAAACCAGGAAAAATGTTTGGGGATAATACAGGCCAAATATATTTTAACCTTGGGTTTTCAGACCAATTTCTGCTGTTATCTCACCAACATCAATAAGAAGATCTTGCCTTTAGGATCCAATAAACTCTGCTTTTATTTGAATAATGGAAAATGTGCTATCACAGATGTAGAAATCCTTCTTCCAAATCTCTGGATATAAAACTGTGGGAACTGAAAACAGCTCAAGGGTTGATCCTAAGCACTACTGTAAAACTTCATCCTGAGAATATACTCAGAGATATTTAGTTCATTATTGCAGTGTTAAAAAAAAAAAAAAAAAAAAAAAAAAAAAGAGAGAGGAAAAAAGAAAAAGAGGTCTGGTAGGGGTGGTGTGAAACCTTTTTTTATATTCTTCCTTTCCTCCTTTCCCAATAGATGTCCACCAGATTCTTCTGTAAAAGTACTTAGTAAGACAGCTTGAATTATGTGCATCATTTACCTGATAGATCTTAAGGGGGAACTTGCCATTATGAAATATCACCTCCCTAAACTTTTGACTATTTTTAACACTTATGGTTTAGATTGCTATTTTTTGTGAAAATATCATTATAATCCTCATTAAGGCAGTTACACCTCCATGCCTTAGACAAAGCTTTGAGAGATTAATCTCCCAAAAATTTTAACATTGCATAGGAATAATTCTGAAGGTTTTTTCACATATAACAAAGCATAAAAGCTTGAAGCCTAAGTAAGGGTTTGGAGGAGACCCTAATTTTGTCAAGCTGCTAGGAATAAATGTGCTTTTATTAATGAAACACTTGTACCTTTAATAACGCAAGCTAGATCTCACTTCTGGAGACAGATAAAATTAGTGAAATGACAAATTATCATACCCCTTATACATTTATGAAATAAGAGCTATCTTAAAACAAATTCAGAAGCAGGTATAAAGTGGGACTGATGAAATCTATAACTGATTCAGAGGGTAGTATGCATTGCCACTGTTGTGAATCACAAAAAAGAGATTTATTGCTTATGCATTTTTTAATACATAATCCCCAAAATGCTACATGAAAAACTGATTTCTTGGGCTGAATTTTAGGAATACACCATCCAGGCACTGATGAAAATCTTTCAGAAAACAGATACGAGCAGGAAGGTAGTTCAAATGGATTCAATTTGGCAATCTGTGGCAGGGGAAAGAGTTACAAATGAGGTTTAGCACTCCTTACAGATCAAAGGAGGAAAAAGTGGAGATTGAAAACAAAAGTGTAGCTTGTGCAGGGAAAAGTTTTGAGGGACACACTGACAGTGGAAGTAAGGGCAAAAATACTCAGGAACAGAGGGATCCAATGCCCAGGTCCCCTGCAATACAAGCTCCCTAATATTTCCTGGGCATGTAAAAAGCATCGCTTCATTAAAGAAAGCAGAGTTGCATCAGCTGAGGATCTGCAATTATGCATGTGTGAAGTTAATGTCAGCATTTCTGGGAAGCACAAACTGCTGCTTATAGGAATGATGGCTCTCAGAACTCTTTTAGCACTGTGCTTGCACTTTGTGGTCATGAAATCTTTGCCGCACACTAGTATTCAAACCAGACACACACATAAGGAAAAAACGTGCTGCGTCAAGCCAAGTCAGGCATTTAAATAAAAATACTGCTCTTAGAAAAAAAAAATCCTGTCTACTTAATAGCTGATCAATAATGGCATATTTTCTGATTTGCAGCATTTTTTGGTCCTGAGAGATAAAAGAAACACTCCAAATTCTGAGGTAATGTTTTGTTACCCACAGCTGCAACATTTTTTTTATTGCACTATTGCTCCATAGATATGATAGAATCTGGGGGGAAAAAAAAGTATTGGGAAAAGTAGATGTTCTTCATGATTTAGTCTGTCAGTTAACAGTGTATGATACCCACACAGTCCTCTACCATATGACTGATTTTCAAACAAAATGCTGACTGATTTTTTTAATTAAAAACATAAGGAAATATGACATTAGATGCTCAGCCTTAATTATCAGCAGCTATATACATAATCTCCATTTGAATTTAAGATTGATCACTAACAGAGAAAGCTCCAAGTAATCCTATGTAGTGTGTATATCTTTAATCCAGAGGAAAATTGATTCTTTTTTACCAAACAAATCAAAGAACCAGACAACATATTAGGAGACAAGAACAACGCAAACCCTGTCCTTTTCTGTCACTTGAAACACATTCACATATATGCAACTAACTTTGCCAACTTGTAGAAATCTGGTGCTAGTCATTTTTTTAAAGGAAGTAGCAGTACATTTGTGTACAGTGCTCTATGGACCCAACGAGTTGGATTTATATGGTCCTGCTTGGTCTGTTTTGCAGGTTTTCTGTTTAGCCTTTCTAGCAGACCCAAGCACTATAAGGGATGAAACACACCTGTACAGTTTAGAACAAAGTAATTGTGTAGAAAAAACTTTCAGAAGTTCTAAGCAATGGAGAGTCTATGACACCTGTAACCCCTGCATTGTCTCTGTGGATAGATCTTTTTTTCTTAATACTAAATACACATACAGTTCTACCTTTCAACTGATTTCAGGTATTCCTAATCAATGCTATAAACCTATCCTTCCAGAAACAATTAGAGTGGAAAAAAAGTTGGAAATGTTAGTTCTGCATTCCACAAAAGCAGATGGAGCATTAACTTCTCAAGCCTTAACAAATCTTTCCTCCCTCATATTCTAAACACACACATTTCCTTTCATTGTACATTCCTCCTTCTTCCAGCTTCACTGTTCTCCCTACAAGATCCCTCTCCATTAATACTTACTGAGTTGTAGACATATCAATAATTAAGAGTCATGCTCAGCAACAACATGAGCTTTTAGCACAGAGTTATTCTACAACATTCCAGGTGACTGATGATCTTTTCGGAATACCAGTCAAATGAAGGCAATAGCTACACTGATAGCGTTGCCCTGTAATTATATCAAATGCAGTATC